GTTCTTTCCCTCAATAAGACTCTTAAGAGTGCTCTTTTCTACCTTACAAGCTCGTTTTTTTCCTAATTTACAGTTACTCTAATATATTAAATGTAAGTGATAATCACAGTTAAATTTTTTTCTTATTTAAAATTTACCTTCATATAACATAGTTCTAATATAAATATCTTCAATTTTTCTCTCTATTCATATTCTTAACCACCTTAATTTTGTAATACTCCTGTATTGGGACTCCTGTCTCAAATATTTTATCCAATATATATACGAATATTTTAGCAAGATTTTTTCTTTGTGTTTTTTCATCTACTTGTTACAAGTTGTTTTTAACAGTTTATTAATAGATATATAATACTTTGTATATTTTCATCTATCTCACCAATTTTCTGCCAAGAATTCAGCATTTCATTGAATTATCTAGGTCATGTTTTAATTGTTGTGATTTAATAGCAGTTGTTAATGTATAATTGTTTGTGATTATATTAAATGAAATTTTTAAATATGGTCAATTACAAAATGTATTATTTATTAAAGTTGTGGTTAAGTTTTACAGACTGTTTAATTGTTTAACACCTACTACAATTCCACAAACGCTTGGACACGGTGTGTTTCATAATTAAGAATTGCTCAAATTTTTTGAAATATTTAAGTGTGCATATATTACAAACCCCCCTGTAGAATATGAAGTAGCTGTCTGTAAGCAATGAATTAATATTTCTGTACCAAAACATGAAAAGTTACTATAAAAACTATCAATCTGGACTATACATATCTCACATCAGTGTTTACCTGTTTCACAGAGGAAAGTTAGTAGTTATAGATTAATGCTCCCTGTTTATAAGCATGTAAGCATTGGAGTACTGATTTTTTTAAATGTTCTTGAACAACTCATAAATGTTCACTAATCATAATTTTTCTCATGATTTTTTCGCTATTTATAATACTAGTTTTAGCATTTCACCTTTTGTATGAATGTATAATTTTTTAGAAGCATTTTTAAATTTTAATTTTAAGTTTTTAAATTTTTTTNGTTCATGTACAACCCACACTCTTATCAAGATACAAAACATTCCCATTACCCCAGAATCACATACCTCAGACCCACCTCAACTAACACCTCCTCCCAACACCTGAATACACCAAGATTTTCTTCACCACAGATTAGTTCTGCCTGCTCTAGACCTTCATGCAAATACAGTTATATGCTATGTCTTCTTTGTGACCAGCTTCGCCCACACAGTGTAACGTTCTTGAGGTTTTTCCAGCTGCTGCCAAAGTTATAGGCTACTAGTATTCATTTGTACAGATATACCACAACTGGTTTATCCATTCACTTGTTGAAGTCACTGACGTTAGTTTGCACCTATTATGAATAAGGCTGTTGTAAACATTTATGTACAAGTATTTTGGGGTAAATATCTAGAAGTGGAATGATTGGGTTTTAGGGTAACAGGCTGATGTTAAATTGCCGGTCCTAATTCCAAAGCGGTTCTATGACTTTACACTCTCCTAGAATTCCACTGCCCCACTCTCTCACCAGCATCTGACACTGTTATGATTACAGTACTATTTAATACAATTGTATTTCATCTGCATTACCTTTTGATGAGTGACACTGATACCTCTTCACNTTTAATACAATTGTATTTCATCTGCATTACCTTTTGATGAGTGACACTGATACCTCTTCACATGCATACTGGCCATTCCTTTGTGAAGTGCTTGTTCAAATTTTCTGCACATTTTAAATTATAACTGACGTGTAAGCGCTGTTGATATACTCTGGATACAAGTCCTCTGTCATATGTTTTTTGATTTCTCTCTCCCAGTAGTTCATTTTCTTAACTACATCTTTTGATGAGCAAAAAAAATTTTAATTTTGATACAGTCTAACTTATCAAAACTTTCCTATGGTTAGTTCTATGGTTTCGATGTCTGTCCCCACCAAAACTCATGTTGAAACTTAATCCCCAATGTTAATAAGTGTTAAGAGGTTGGGCCTTTAAGAGGTGACAGAGTCGTGACAGATTAATCTATTCATGGATTGTGGGTAAACAGGTCATCATGGGAGTGTGCCCCTCCTGCACTTTGATGACACAGCAACGCAGCCCCTGGACCTTGGACTTCCCAGCCTCCAGGACTGTAATAAATAAATTTATCTTCTTTACACATCACATAGTTCCAGGTATCAGTGACAGCAACAGAGAATGGACTAAGACAGACAGTGCTTTCTGGAGCCAGCCTACAAAGATATTCTCCTGTTTTGTTCTAAAATTACCATTGTTTCAGTGTACAGATCTACGATCCATCTGGAATACATGCTGTGCGTGTGGGGCAGTATAGGTTGAAGTTCATTTTTTCCCATGTAGGCAACTAGCTACTCCAGCATCGTTTGCTGAGAGATTTTACTTTCCCCGCCAAACTGCTTTTAGAAAAAAAAAAACACTTGACTGTACAAGCATGGATCTATTTCTGAACTCCTTACCCTGTTATGTTGATCTACTTGTCTATTTTATGCTAATACTGTGCTGTCTTGATTACTGGAGAGTTACTGTGGGTCTTGAAATAAGATGAGGTAGCTTTCCAACTTCATTATTCTTTTCACGACAGTTCTGACCATCCCACATCCTTTGTATTTGCATATAAACTGTATAATCAACTTGCTGATAAACTGTATAATCAACTTGCTGAAAAAGCCTGAATAATCTACAGATTAAGAGATGAACTTAATCTGTAGATCAGCTTGGGGAAAACTGGCATCCTAACAGAGAGTCTTCTGATTCATGAACGTGGTATACCTCTCCATTTATTTAGGTTTTCTCTAATTTCTCTCAGCAATGTTTTATACTTTTCAGTACAGAGATCTTGAACATCTTTAATAACATTTATCCCTAAGTATTTTATGTTTTGATGGTATTGTAAATGGGATTTTAAAATTTCACTTTTCATAAATGGAATTTTAAAATTTCACTTTTCGACTGTCCAAGGCTAGTATATAGAAATAGGATTTTTACATACTGACCTTGTATCTTGCAACCAAACTAAATTCACCAATTAGTTTTTTTTCTGATCCATTCTTTAAGATTTTCTATGTATGTGATCACGTATTCTATCGATAAAGACAGTTTTATTTCCATTCAAACTGGATTGCTTTTTCTCTCTTGTCTGTCACACTGGCTAAGGTCCTGATCTCAGGGGGAACCACTGAGTTTTTCATGATTAAGTATGAATATTAGCTTTAGGTTTTTCACATATACCCTTTCTCAAGTTGGGAAAGTTACCTTCTATTCCTAGATCTCTCTCTCTCTCTCTTTATTATGAATGGGCACTGTCTGTCACCAAAGGCATCTGGTGAGATAATCATATGGCTTTTCTGGTTCACTCTGCATGTGTGGTGAGTTACACTGATTCATTTTTAGTTGTCAAGCAAACCCCATATTCCCAGGATAAACCCCACCTACTCATGAAGCACGATCTATGTCATGTTTGCTGAATTAAGTTTGCTGACATTTTGTTAAAAGTTTTATAAAATCTGTTTAAATTAGGGTTATACTGGCCTTATGAAAGGAGTTGGGAAGTGCTCCCTCAGCCTCTCTATCCTGAAATGGTTTGTATAAGATTGGTGCTATTTCTTCTTAAATATTTGCTATATTTCACCAAAAGAACAATCTGGATCTGGAGTTTTCTTACTTTGAGTATTTTATATTTCTTTTTTCTTTTTCTTTTTTTTTTTTTGTCCTTTTTGAGACCAGCCACACCGCGCTCAGCCAGTGAGCGCT